GTATAAGAAGAAAATTATTTTTTATGTCCCAGCAGATATTATGACATATGCAATTTTTTGAAAACATATTCATTAAGACCCAACATTATGCAAGTATATTACAAATATGGGCACAATCAACAGCCTCTAAGATCAATATTAAATTTAAAAAAATAAATAGTATCTATAATCGAGCCATAACAATGTTGCAAACAACAATCTTATGAAATTAATATTTGTTTATGTGTTTATTATTTGTTTTATAAAAGTTAAGGCGATAGTTTGATAGGTATTGTTTTATTTTTTGTTATTTTTTACTTTTTAAATCATTAATTGAGCGTTATTTTAAATTTAGAGATTTGATTTTGCCGGAGATGTATTCCAATAGGTGTAGAATACCCACCCTATATATTTCAGACATGCCCAAATATTAATTTACATTTTAAAATATTTATGTAAATTAAAGTTTATTCATTTATCATAAAATTGTCTGAAATTTATAGGGTGGGTATTCTATACAAATTGGAATGCATTTCCGGCAAAATCACATCTTTAAATTTAAGAAAACGCACTCAATTAATGATTTAATATACAAAAAATGAAACAATATACCCATAAAACTATCGCCTTAAAAGAATGTTTTATTTATTATGTACGTATTCTCGCAAATTTATGTTTAGAATAAAATGAATAATAATTTCCTATATACGAGTTTTCATATATTTTCGAATTTGCACAATATTTCAAACTTTTTAAATTCTCACTCATTTCTTAGAAACGAAGCACTTTTAACCCTTAGCTAACCAGACAAAAAAACAGGGTTTCCCAATCAAAAAGTCATTAAGAAAAATGACAGAGAAAATAAATAAATTATTTTTTAAAATATAAACAAGAATGATCAAAAATGAGAAGAAATAATCGAGAAAAGATCAAGAAAGATAAAGATTTAAAATGATTTAAAGAGATCACGAAAAGTTAGAAATAAAATAAGAAGAAAATAAAAAAACTAAAAATTTAGGAAAAGTGACAAGAAATTTATATTTAAAAAATAACGATTTTCCTTTTTTGATTGGTCCTTTTCCTAAGCCTTTAGAACTTTTACTTTTTTGATTGACACTTTTCCTTTTTTGATTAGACCTTTTCCTTTTTTGTTTGACATTTTTCATTTTTTGATTGGGATCTTTCCTTTTTTGGGTGGGAAGCCCTTGTATTAACCCAGCTGGGTTTCTTATAAAATAGGAAACTTTTAATTATTTTATATTAGTCATATGTGACGCCAGTTTGCTGTTAATTTTTGTTCTTTTCGATAATAATATTTTTGTTAATTTCGGTTACTAAACAAGAAGCACTAATCTCAACTAAGAAAACAATAAAGAATGATAAATTTCATCGTTAGTAGGGGAGACCGGGGATAGTGTGTTCCCGGGGTAGGTATTTCCTTCTCAAATAATTTAAAAATTAATAAAGTTTAAGATTTGTAATTTAAGCCAAATATGTATTATAATAAGGTGCTTAAGTAGGTCCAAAATTGTTTCGGACAAAATTGCTCATGAAAAATTTTAAATGCAAATTTAAGTTTCAACATACCCAAAGTAACTTTTTTAAATTTTACATTTTCACGAATAACTTTTTTTATAAAAGTTGTTCAGACTTAATATAAATTCTAAATGATAAAAAAATCTCCATTTTATCATATATAAAAATATTGACAATCATTATGTTATTTTAATATTCTAAATTTAATTTTTAAATGATCCTGTGGACCTGGGGAAGGTATTAGCGGGGTGCGTCTTTTCCTTTTACATACATTCATTAAAATATTGGTTCTGATTTTGTAAAATGGTTCGAACATATATTAGAAAAACTAACAAAGAAAATAATGATAATCAAAAGGCAAGTATTCTTCAAATGCTGAAATATAAGATACCTTTGACAGTTATAACCATGAATACGAATTTAAGTTATGTGAGGTATATTTATATATTTAAATTAGTATATATTTAAGAAACTAAGCATTAAGAGGTATAATAAATTGTTCAAAAGAAATGAAGATTTTCAAGAGCGATATCTTTACAGATCAGTATTTTCTGCTATTCAAGAAGCTAAATTAACAGATTATTTAATTAAAGGATCAAGATTATTTTCAGGATTATGCCCTAATCAAGTATTTTAATCCTTTGTTATATCATATATCTCTGTAAAATGATTTTTTTTATAATCTTTAAATTTATGCCATGGTATTTCTTTAGTTAAATAATAATAAACTTGAGAAATTTTTTAAAATTATTTACATTATATGTTAATGAAACATCTTTATTAATTTTAAAATACTTTAAAGTAAGAATTTAACTTATACATTAGAATGATATTTATTTAAGTGTGTATGATATATATGTAAATAAAATGATGTTGCCATTTATGTATAAAATGATGCTGCCATGTATATATATTAATTTTAAAATGATGCTGCCATGTATTAATATTAATTTTAAAATGATTTATTCAATGTAGCATTATATATATTATATCATGCATTAAATCATATCTTACCTATATATTAAAGATTTAATTATGTGTGTATGATATATATTTAAAATAAAATGATGCTGCCATGTATATTAATTTTAAAATGATTTATTCATTGATTTAGCATTAAAACATATTTTGGTTCTTACCTATACATTAGAGGTTTAATTATGTATGATATATTTTATTATATTAATTATTAAATAAATTCAGAATAAAATTTAAGAATTAGGATTTTAATTAGATTGCCTTAATATATAAATAATCTAATGTCTTATGTTTAAATTTAGGTTAGAGTTTTAGCTTATCAAATGGCCAAGAGGTATAGTTTACAAGTACCAAAATCTTGTGAAATAACTCAATCAGCTGGTGAAGACTGGGTTGGAGCATTTATTAAAAGAAATCCAACTATTTCTTTGAGAACACCAGAGACTACAAGTATCTCCAGGGCTACCAATTTTAATATGAAAATGGTTTATTTTTTAATAATTATTTGACTGTCACAAGGGAAAATAACTTTCTACCATGTGATATATATAATATGGATGAAACTGGTTAATTAAAATATATATGATAGCAAATCTTTAATATTTTCATAGGATTAACAACAGTTCAACGGCCTAATAAAGTTATTGCAAGGAAAGGCGAAAAACAGGTTGTGGCAATTACTACATCAGAATGTGGTACATTTATGACCTTGGCAATTGCTGTCAATGCTCTAGGAAATTCTATTCCACCTATGTTTATATATCCCAGGAAAAAATTTTATGATCATTATTTAAGAGATGGCCCTGTAGGATGCATTGGCGTATCTAATGGTTCTGGGTGGATGCTGGCTGAAGATTTTATATATTTTTAAAATCATTTTATAAAATACACTAAGCCCAGTCAAGATAAAAAAGTTTTGCTTATATTAGATAATCATAAATCTCACCAATCTATTGAAGTCACTGAGCTGTGCTCTGACAGTGATATAGTTCTATTGACTCTCCCTCCCCTCTTCACCTTACAAAAAAATAGCCAGATCTAGGGCTAATAATTTGAAAAAAAAATCAAACCAATAATAAAAAAAGTTTAAATATGAATGCTGGCAAAAAAGAATTTTGTTTAGTGTGCCACAAAAACTATCAAACTCACCACCATAATGAAGATTGGATTGTCATTTATGGGCACATGGATCATGTTGTGATTTTAATCCATTTTTTATATGTAATAAATGTGTTGTATGTTAATATTACATGTTTGTTATGATTTTTATATGAAAAAAATAAAATAAAATGCTTAGAAAATAATAGTCTAAAACATGCCCCACAAAAGGATCAAAAATTTCCATTTTTTTAAAATTTAAATTTAAAAAAATATATAATATTTTTTTATTAGATATTAATTTCTACCGTAGATAATTATATAAAGAATAAAATAACATCAAAATTATTTTGATAAATTATTTCTCCTCCTTTTCACAGCCTCTCAATTTTTTATGGACAATATAACCCCGGTCTCCCCTACTTCTAAAAGATCGGTTCATGCTTTAAACTATGCCATAACTTTCACTCAGCTTATAATCGTTTTTCTTATGGTGGTTTAACCAATTTAATTATAACAAAATGTATTAATAAAGCACTGAATATTTGTGAAAACAGGATGTTTAATGCTTTTATAAAAAGGAAATACAACTATTACATTCCTTTATTGAATAATTTATAATTTAATTTTTATAAATTATTTATATCATAAGAAAATGAATCTCACTCCATTTAATAGAGAATATATCAAAAAAATTTACATAAGCATTTGCAGTTTACCTAAGCATTTGCAGTTTACCTAAGCATTTGCAGTTTACCTAAGCATTTGCAGTTTACCTAAGCATTTGTAGTTTAGTCAACCCCTTTTTATAGTTTTACTCACGTTGCCATTTTTTTGTTTATTTTTATTTTTTCGCCAATAACTTTTTATTCATTTCGGCTATTAAATTGATTCAAGTCATTGATATTTAAGCGTGAAGTTGGCCAAATATTTTATTTTTGCTTATAACTATTTTTCTTGAATTCGGCCCCTGTATGCACTAACGAAGCTATATATAATTAATGCTTCCAATCATTCGGCCAACTTCCCGGAGCTTTAATAATGACTTAAAACTCAACATATTTGTTTAAAATAAAGCAAGTAGCTGAAATAAAACTGATTAAAAAATAATGAATGGTTAGTTTTTAATAAACTTGAAAATCTAAAATAATTTCTTATTAGTTGGATGCATGTTAACTATTATCTAGTTTAATGTTTTATTTAAAAATTTATTTCCTTATTTATGAATTTATATAAAATAATGCATTTTGTGACAAATACATAAATAATTAGAAAATAATAGCTAATATGATTGGTTGTTGTTTACTTTTACTAACTTAATAAACCATTTCTTCTTAACTGAAAAAAATCCAACTAACATTACATAGGTGGAGCTTAAAATATATAAATAAATTATTCTATTCATATACCTCAAACCAACCGGGTGAGTCATTAATGGCGTTTTTCTGTTCACAATCCTCTTCACACCCTAAAAAGTCGATTGTATCCGCGTTGGAAGAAGGAAATATTATATCGTTTAGTATGGATAATTTCCAAAAATTGCTATCGTCCAGCATTCTCCTTTTGCGCTTGTTGAGAGAATCGCAGCAAGCCAATCCATTCGATAAATTTTTTCCATTTTTGACTGACGGGAGTAGCAAGTCATCCTTACTGTACAGCGAATGGGCTTTGAAATGAGTAAGTTTAGATTGATTGGTTTGGGAAATCTGGGATTTTATGATTTTTTTTAAAAAATTTATATAAAAAATTTTATTATAAAAAAATAACGATTTTAAAAAAATGTTTAAAATTAGATTTTAAAAATATTTATTACATATTGCATCACAATAAACTAAACTTCACCTGCATTACTAGACTCAAACATGAAGGGTAGAAGGACATAAAGACAAAATAATTTATTAGAATAGCCAAGCAGCCGAATAAGCAAGCAATTTCCAACGTTTTGATTCCTGTTTAAAAAAATTATTAAATAGAATATATTATATTATAGTAAATAAAAAAATACACAAATACGGAAATACATCGAGGGCGAGTGGTGGATACTTTAAAATTTATTTTTAACCGCCATTATTGTTGAGAAATCAAATTAATTTTTCAGATTGCAATTTTAATTCTTATTCAATTCTTTTACTTTCTCATATTACAATCATGGTAGAGAAAACATTCTTTTATTTTTGATTTTGGAGCGAGTGGGAATTCGAACCTAGGTCTGCAAGACTTGCAAACGCAAACCATATTTTTTATAAGTTTTTCTTTTGTCTATATTTTTATCAGGAACGGTGCCAAGTAGTGTTGTCAAATGGCTTGATTTAAGCTTTTTTTAAAAAACGCATAAATATTTTATCCTGAAAGATTTCTTCTCATAGATAGATGGCACAAAGGTTTGAACATCTATTAGCGATATCTCGAGGCAAAATTTTTCTAGTTAAAATATTGCCTTAGCCATTTTTAAATATCGGATCTAATCGGTATATCGAAATTGCTAAAAAAAACGCGGTATTTGTAGTGAGTCTATGGTAATTAAAATTTAATATTCATTTGTTTTACCATTATAACAATATATAAATCAGATGGATGCTCTTGCTACCATCAGTAAAATAAATAATAATCAAACAAATGGTGGTTTTAAATTTGGATAAGATTCGATCATTTTGAATTTTTTTTTCAATTATATTATATATAATTATTATAAAAATTGCATTTACAAACAACTGAGGCAAAGTTTGTATTTATTATGTCATATCTCATTTTCAAATTATATATAATTTCATGCTCTACTATTATTATTCAAGTTTGCTTGGATAATGGCAATTTTTTTTTGAAAATTTAATATCTTTATATATATCAATAGTATTCTGTTAAATGGCAGATTAGGATTAGGTACATTTAACATCCAATTTTTTTTTATCATTTGTTCTAACAAAGCTAATCGGTGGGGAGGGTCCCCAAATTGTGATACCAAAACACATGAAATTATATATATATAAAGGAAGGAAAAAAATCAATATAGCTTTTGATTTCAAGATATAACATTTTTTTAAATCTGGCGACATAAATAATTTATTTTGTTATTAAAAAAAATATATCCACAATATTATATATCTAAAAACAAGGTCATAAAACATTTTTTTTAAAACAATTACCAAAATTAGACATATAACAAATATCCAATATCCTTTTTTCAATTAATCGTTAAAAATATTATTTTTTTAAAGGTTTCATTAAAAAAATGAAAATAACAAAAAAGTAAATTATATTTATATTTTTTTGTGAAACAGGACTAAAATAATTTAGTGGTTCGCAAAAACTTAAATCACTTTATAAGGCGAGTTTTTTTTAAAAAAAATTTCCTGATTTTGCTGGAATTCATTATTTGCTGCATCTATACCTCAAAAAAAATTTTAACTTTTATAATATGAAAAATTATGTCAAAAAATTAATATAAATTAAGTGTAGTTCAAGGCAAAATTGTTTGTCACTTTACATGGTATTCTGACATCTCTTTGGAAAGTGCGCATATATGATATCTAGAGTCATGAATGACAATATGAAGATGATTTGCTTATTTTTTTTGTAAATCATATGAAAGTTTTAAGTGCCAAAAAATTTTTAAAATTTGTTAAATCCCAGGGTGAGGCATATCCCTGAATTTTTTAAGGCCCGATGACGACATGCATTTTAATAATATAATATGAAAAATTACCAGATATGGTCCCGATGCCTACCACCATAATTTCTACTAGCGTATCGAGCGTGAATGAAGGGCCGAGTACGGTCAAACTCTTTCCAATGCTTTCTTTCACGACGTTAAAATTATCCTTCTCCTCTAGCAATGATGATTCATCACTTTTGACGTAATCGTCGTCGTCGTAATATTCGTCCTTATGAGACTTCCTGTTATTAAACCCCGATTTCGATTTGATAAAAGATTTCGCCTTGTGACCATTACATTGACTATTTACCGAAGTTGAACGCGAGGAGGACTCGGTGAATTCCGAGTTGAAGGTGGCGTAGTTAAGCGCAAATTTCCCAAGCGTACTGGCTTTCGATAGGTCTATTAGGAGCAGGAAGAAAGGTATGGATTCCTTGATGAAATAAAGGTCTAGACCCAGGAATTTTATGGCGGTGGCGCTTATTATGAAACTGGAAAATATGGTAAACAGTCCCGCTAAACCTAGATTTGCAAAAATATTTTTATAATAATAAAATTATAAAATACAAACAATTAACATTACACTATAGTCTCCTTAAATTTTAAATACATTAAGATCATACGAAAACGATTATCTATTGATTATGGAGATTATATATATTAGATATTCATATTAAATTTTCTGTATAACAAACTATGTACCTTAATTTGAATAAAAAGTAAAAACAAATTAAATATCAATTAATATATTAAAGAAATATAAAACAATTATAATATTGGATATTTTTCTTTATAAAGATAAGAGCCCAAGTACGTGATAATAAGTTTCCTATGAGGGCTATCTATATCTAGTGTTGTTAAGTGGAACAATTTGAGCCGATTTTTAAAAACGGCTAACTCAATATTTTATCCAGAAAAATATTATGAAAGCCTGAAGATTTTGGTCATAGATGGCTCAAAGGTTTGGGCATTTATTAGTGAAATCTGAGGTCTATCCAAAATTTTTTAGATAAAATATTGAGTTAACAATTTTTAAAAATTGGTTAAAATCGAGCCGTTTAACAACAGTATCTATATCACCAGCTGTGTTGAGACTGATTCTGATGAAACACTTGTTAAAGGAGATGCTACTTAGGTGCAAGAGTCAAAGTTGGAAACCTATGAGTATTGATTCGCCAATAATCAATATGATCGATTAGGGATAAAATATTAAATCTTTGTTAATTAATCAAATTTAAATTCGCGTGATTTTTATGTACTATAAGTCAGAGACCTCCGGGCCGGGATTTTAAAATTTTAAATCGCTATTATTAGCTATAAAAATTAAAATAAATGTAATATATTTTTATAAAATCCAGACCAGCGAGAATATTTAAAAAAAATATAAAAAACAATTTTTATTAATTTATTATGAGAAAGGGAAATTAGTTCAAAAATAAATTAAAAATATATATAAAATTGTATCGGTTACATTTTAAAAATATCGGCCGGCCGATCAGATATTTCCCCTAATAGTTCAATATCGGCACCGAAACCGATATTTAACATCGGTACAGACAGCCCAATATGTAAACCTGGAGATTTTGCTCATAAATGGAAGAAAGGTTTGGACCTCTATCTGCCTATCTCGAGTCTTACTTAATATTATTTTAACTAAAATCCTAATCAAGTTGTTTCTAAAAATCGACCCTAATCTAGCATTCTAAAACAACACTAATGGAAAGCTTCTATATTCGACAAAATAGGATTAAAGGTATACCTGCCAAATGTAATCTCAACACATGGGTGATTAACATATTTTTTTTAAAGTTTATTAATTATACCTTTTATATGATTTTTTTTTAAATGTCTTGACCTTTACATGCCCATTGGATTTGCCATATTATTTATATATTTTTTTAAAGTTTATTAATTAAACCTTTTATATGTATTTTTTTAAAATGTCTTTTATAACTGAATAAAATTTTTAATATAAAAAAAGAGCTAAATAGTGTCCCGGTTTGTCTTACTTCTAAATAGTGGTCTATTTAGCCGGGTATATAGCTTCCTCTAAACAGCCTAAACAGTAAAGAGTATATTTAAAATTACGTAAACTGGCATCTTTGTTTTATTTGTACCGAAAAATAAATACATAACAAATATTATTAATTTAAAGTACAAACTTAAAACAACCCAGATCAGTGTGTCCTAATTCGAAAATAAGACGAACCAAGACAGACCATATTTATTTTAAATGTAATTTCTTCAAAAAAAGATGGTGGATAACATTTAAAAAATAAATTATAAAATTATATTCGGGTTGGGCTAAACTTTATTTAGATATTTATAATTATTTTTGGAGATTTGCAGACCCGGCCCAAAAAATGTTTAAAATCCACGCCAGACCTAAAAACCAATTATGAAACAGAACAGATTCTAATTTATCTTATGAATTATAACTGGAATATAATGAATCATTTAAAATTTTATTACTTCAAATATTTTCAATTTCCCTTTTTAAAAACACAAAAAAACTGTTAAATTATCGAAAATAATTAAATTTGAAAAAATGGGTCTGATTTAAAAAATTTAAAAATCGAAGGCGGGCTCAATATTATAAAAACGGGTCGAGCTAAAATAAAATAATTAACCGGGTCGGGCCTATGGAGCCTAAAAATTCGAGCTAGACATATCTCTATTATTTTACCCTCCATCTTGTTTTTTGAGATCTAGATATCAATTTATTACAAATTGCGTATCAATTTTTATCTGAATATAAAAGAATTTAAATAAATTATCGATATTTTCTAGAATTGGCATGTAAAACCCATTTTTATTATTAATTTTTTAAAAATAGATAATATGTTTAAATTTTAAGTCGGTAAAGATTTCGTAGCCAAATAAAGTAGTTGTAAATTTATTTATAAACCATCAAATTTTCCTTACATATACTTTACTTTTTTTAAGATAAAAAACGGTTCCAGCTTATATTTTTATAATTTCTTTAGGGAGTTTCAAGATTTTGATCCCATTGTTTTTTTAATGATCAGTTAAACAAAAAACGTAGCTATTACCGTAGAATTATAAAAAGCAGCAATTTACATTAGTATTTTAAAAAAAGTGAGCTAGTATGGCTTTTAAGTTGCTAAATTTTACGATTTGTTTATTTTAGAAATTGAATAAAGCGGCAAAATTTAAAATATCTGTCCGTGTCCGGTCCGTGAAATTTTAAAACTAAAATCAGGCTCAAACGAGCCCGGGTAGAATGTATGAGTCGACATCTAGGTTCGGAGGATAGAGCTGGTCTATTGAGAAACAATATATATTTAATCAAGAAGGTGAATTAGATCCATAATGAAATTTATGAGTCTTGTTTAGTAAATTGATTGCTAATTTTATATAAATTAATCGTATTCCAAAAGATATTATATTTTTTTAAACTAGGGGAAAAAATTCGAGATTGAAACACGTTATCGGATTTTCTTAGAGCAATTAGTTTTAATTTAAACTCAAAATACATCTATATAGTATGTTAGTTACATTATATTATATTTGATTAAATAAATATGTTTCTTCATAACTGTGATCCAATTATTCCTATTCTTCAATAACTTAATCAAATTAAAAATGAAGATGCTGGGTATTTATTTTTTAAATATTCAAGAAAAATCATATAATATTTCTTAAATAAAAAATTGTTCCTATATAAAATTTTCTACCGTGTTTTTTAATAAAAGTTCTAATTTATAGGTGTATAAATTTTATATGAAAAACGGGAGGAGCCAAAATTGGAGGGGGGATTAATCAATCTTCCGTAAATTTTTCCGAGAGGCTAATTTTCCGGTAATTGAAACTAATTCCATGTCAGAAGGAGAATGGTCGGTATTTAGGGTAGTAGGCGCTGGGGGGAGGGGAGATTGCCCCCCCCCATCCCGAATTTGTCTATTCTCGTAAATATCATTTAAGTTAACAAAAATTTCTCTCCAATTATTATAAAAAAAAATTTAACTTTTCTTTAATATAGGACAAATTATTATTTGGAACCCTCTTGGGACAAGGTTACGGTTAAAAAGACTATATATTTGAAAAGATAATACAGCTCAACACGAAACAGTTCAACTGAAGGGAGATAATTTTAATTAAATTTCAATTTATTTTTTTAATCGACAGGTCATGTGATTATTATTAATAGACGAATAGAAATTAAGATAAATCAGCCGGGCTACCGAGAATTTCCTTGAGATTCATAATCATTTGAAGATAATGGCTCAATGGCTACTTACTTATCAAACATGACTAACATGCTATCATGTTAAAAACATCAGCACTTCCGATTGGCAAATTTCAGTTCAATGATATACCGTGTTATTTAATTAATTAATTTATATTCCAACTACAATTAATTTATAGTATATTCCTCTTATCAAATTAATATTAAAAAATTTGTTTTTATGTAGTCAAGTTTAGAAAGTTGCGGCAAGAGGCAAATGATTAATCAATTGTTTCAGGTTAAAAAAAATTCTCAACAATAATTCTCATGTCTTTTTTTATCATTGTATATCTATAAGTGGGTAATTGCTCCATCTTTAGCCATTTTAACTTGCTAAAAAATGCCTACTTCATTTTTAGAAAAGCAATCTCAGCCTCGTTCTTAGCGAATCTTCTTAGGTAGACAAGTGCCTGTGTATTCAGCCGATTAACCATTACCCAAACTAACCATATGCGCTCTTAAATAGGGATCCCGGACATAAATGTCCTGAATAAAAAGATCGGTACAAAAACATTCCCGCAAAAACATACCCTCGGACAAGAAAGCCCCGAACAAAAATAGTGCAATTTTAATAAAATTTTGAAATATTTAGAAAGAAAATTTTTAAAAAAAATTTATTAATTGATTCTACACGGTTCTAAGTATCTATTCGATTATATGAAATGTAGTGGATTTAGTGTATAATAAAATTAGTATCTCTCCTCATCTAATATAAGCACCAACCTTTATCTTGATTGCATAGTCCTAGGCTAACCACTAGCGCGGTCTACGAGCTTGGTATCAGGCCTTAGTCTGAACCGCGTAGATCGGTAAAGAAATATATACTTAATTTATCGAATGTAGTGGGTTTGGTGTCTAATTATAAAACTAACTATTTCTCATAGTCTACTTTTTATGCATAGATTAACTCTATCCCACATCAGGCCTTGCCATGAACAGTGTAACAATACATTTATCTAACATCTAAACATTTCCCCAGCACTCGAAATATATGTATTATTTTTTTTTATAAAAACAGTGCATAGTAGATGTGCATTATCACTACTTAAATTTTTTTAGTATGTTTAAATAATTTTTTCAAAACTTTCCCCTTTTCCTAAACATTTAGAAAAATTATTAAAATTTGAACATTTTTATCCAGTGTCTTTTTGTCCAAGGTATTTCTGCCCTATTACCATTAAATATTTTTTTATAAATTAAGGTTGGTTATTATATAGATTGGATAGTTATCATCTGAAAACTTAAAATAAGATAATCCACTGGTTTCATTAACTTAATATTATTAAATATTATATTAAAATTTAAACTTTATGAAATTAAATTATTAATAATTTATGTTTCAATAAGATTCATCATTTAAATTTATAAATGATGCCAAAGATATTTATTTTATAATCAAAAATTTATCTTATTGTAATTTTTTTAAATTTGGAAATAAAGATTTTAAATACATTTTTAAAAAAAATTAAAAGGGAAAAGTCTTCTTACAATATTTTAAATGATATACGTTTTACCTGACATATATATAATGTTTCTTACTTTGCCAATATATAAAAAATATAATAAATATATATAATAAATATATATTAAATACATATATTAATTAAAAATTGTATTATGGCAGCATCAAGAGATGGTAAAGTTTATTAATTTGCATTAAAGAGAATAAAATGTTGCTTACAAAAACATATAATTAAATATCCATATCCAAGTTCAAACAATATATATATGGCTAATAATCCCTTTTTTTCTAATTGTAAAATATGAAGGATTATAAATATTATTGATTTTATAATGTTAATATTTTTTGGCTCAATAATTCCATAACAGATATTGTGACAACCAGGACTTTGAAACCGAACCGTAAAATCGGAACGAACCGTTATAATTTTCTTAACCGTATCCGATATAAAGAAAATATAATTAGAGCAAACCGCGCAGTTATAAATAACCGGTATGAACCGGTTTTTAAAATAATCCATTTTAAATTATTTTCCTTTAAATTCGTGTCCTTTTTAAATTAAAATTTTTACAATTAAATCGCCATTATCTTTATATCAATCAAGATTATTATTATATTTTTTAAATTTATATATCATTTAATATAAATTAGGCAAATTACTAGTTAATTAGATAAGAAATAATCTTTATGGATAAATATAAATATATATATGGTTTATGATTAATTTTTTTTAAAAATCAAATTTATAAAAAACCGTTATAAATTCTAAACCAAACCGATATGAATTTCTTCAAAAAAAACTGATATGGAACAAAACCTTTATAAAATCTTTAACTAAAAACCGAAAGAACCGCTATACTTAACTGTTCAAAGAGTAGAGCCATAATAACAACCATGTATTGGGCTAAGAAAAAGTTTCTATTAAAAGTTTGGGAGAAAAAATTGTGGCCTGTGGCTGCATTTTTTTTTAAATTGCATTATTATCCCTTTTTAATTACTTTTCCTCCCTATATAAATATATAACTTAAGTTTAGAATTTGAGTAGCTTTAGAAGTTCTATAAGAATTAATTATAATAGTCCTATTTCTACAATTACATGAATATATACAAATAATAGGATCGGCCAATAAAAATCAATTTGAAATCAATATTTTAAAATGATTTATATATATATCATATTTGATCAAAATACTTAATAATAAAGACTTATAGATTGGCAAAATTTAAATTATTAAATAAAAAACATAAAATCGCACTAGTATTCAACACTTGTTAGACAAAAAAAATTACTTGAGTTTATTTTCTATTCTAGCTTAATTTTTGATAGTATAAAAATATCAGATCCTAAAATATACTGGAAAATTATTTAATATTCTGAACATAAAACTGAACTAATAACAAAAATCTACAAATATTTTTTTAAATATTTTTTAATTACTTTATAATAAAAAAAAACTAATTTTCCTGCCTTTTCTGTTCCTAATCGATTCCGCTTCAAATGAAATACTCTAAATGATGAGAATACTCTCTACACTGAGATAATAGATGCTATAAAGTTGTTTTGCTATTTTTAGAATATTTACATCCTTCGTCAAATTTTATTGGGACACCCACCGTCAAATTGGTTTTATTTTATTTATTATTATTATCTGAGAACACGATTATCTGTGCTTAAAACTTTATTAAGGTTGATAAAATAACAGCGTTAGAATATAGAAGCCTACCATATTCCATTGCCTTTTCCATTTCATTGGTTATTAAATTTGAAGGATGTTTTGGCTTTAAAAGATAAGACAAGAGGTGCACAGGAGTTAAGGCTTGGTCATATCGTTTATTAAAGAAAGTTGATTGCTATTTATTTTTTATTAGAATATAGGGTGGTGAGAAAATTATGTAAGTTCTTCCAACAATATACTGTGTCTGAAATATTAGATTTATTTCTTTCCAAAATTTTTAAATAATTGGTTTTAGGATTTCAATCATATCCTCAGCCACCCTAAGTGTAACATTTTCATCCTTTTTTCTTATTGCAATGTCTATATTATTTTTATAACTCTTACATATTTTAAATAATTTATCCCATATATACATGTCTATGGAGGTCTGCATTGGGGGGTTTATGGACCGCCTGCACATAAAAGTTAGTGGGCGGGTGAGCGGGTTAATTTTTTAAGGAACGTGCGGGTGGGTTAAGAAAAATATTTAAACTATGGGTGAGCGGGTATTTTTTTATTCTTAATATAGCAATTTCCTAAATTATGCAACTTTTTTGTGGGGATGTAAGTGCTGAAACTAAATGATTTTTTTTTATTAGATGTTTAAAAAAAATTAAAAGAATAGTCTTAAATTTTTATATATAATGGGTGGGCGGCAAAAAATTTTAGGATATTGGGTGGGCGGGTAAAGAATTTCTGACTAAAGGGTGGGTGTGCATATTTTTAAAATAAGGGGGTTGGGTGGGTGAGTTAAAATTTTTAAAAATATTGAACGGTAGGCTAGTGTGCCGAAAACCTATCCAGACCTCTACTCTCTACTACTGAATTTCAACAAATATCTTGTAGTGATAAGAGATCACCCTCACTCTAGTTTTAGATTGAAATTTGCAAACTGTTATTTTTTACAATACTAGCTACTAGTTTCCAAATCCTGTAATTTTTCTGGTCTTTTGATAATAGACTCAAAAAAATGAGCACTTAATTCATAGATTACCATATTATTTCTATTCTTGTTTTTTAAATCCTCCCTCATCTTTGTCATGTTAGCAGCAATGTCAGTGACAAAACTTATAACAATTGATATTTATGTGTACTATCAATAAGTTTTTGAGAAATCTATATAAGATATTCAGCAATGTGTGGATAATCTGAGGTATTGATTTTGATAGATATTTTTAAAATAACTATGTATATTTATATATCATCCCCTCCTTATTTAAAAAGAATATCAAAATATAACATGATTTATCAATATTTAATTTTTAAACAATCTCCTGACATGTTCTCATTAAACATGAATACTTTACTTGCAAGATAATCTTAAACTGAAGTTTAAAAAAGATATAATCTTAGTCCATACTTTAATTAAAATTTATTTTTATTTGATTTAGTTGCTGATTTAAATCAAGAACCATTAGCCATTTTTATTTTAATGTTTACAACTCTATTAGCATTAATGTCAATATATCATGTTTTGTGTATTAGGAAAGCCATTTCCCTTTTTATATAAGGCATGGGCCAGGCTATCATATATTTTCTGCATCTCTAGTTGTTATATAATGTGATAGTATATTAAATATTAACAGATACCACGTGATGATATCCACTAGATACACCAATACCACCTTTTTGTCAAATAGGCTACTGATACTAATACAATATAGGATTATACCACCAATATATTGATATTGAATGAAATATATTTATTGGAAAAAAGCAAAAATATAATTTATCAATAATCTTTTTTATTTATCATTTATAATTAAATTAAAAGAAATTAGAAATAAATATCTTTCTTTCTTATTGTTTTAAAAATTTTATATAATTTTCCTTTTATAAATTTTTAACAATTTAGGAAATTTAATTATCATTTTTGAGTATGAGTTAAACTTAAAGTATCATCTGATGATAACAATACTAAGTGATTTATTAAATATATTATCTTATTTTAATTTATAAAAATAGTGTTCTTTATATATAACTGTAGTAAAACAATCAAAACATAGTAGATTAATATTAACAAAAGGACTATATTTATATTATGGTTAACAGTTATTACAATACATATAAAAAGTTAAAAAGAATTTGTAATCATAATTTACCTAAGATATATTTTGATCCTAGCCGCCTTAGCTTCTTGAATTGCAGATATATATAAAATATTGCTACACATTTAGTAAATGTTAAAATAATAACATCTGAACTCTTTTCATCCTAATATTTTTTAATATATTATATAAGGCAGAATAAAACTTACTATTTCAGGACATTTATAATTATAATCGCAAATTTTATCCAAACTAACATAAACCGCCATAGATAAAGAACATATTGTCATTGTTATAATTGAAACTATGACTTCCCAAGGATGAGAAGCACAAAAATGTCCATGAGCGACTAGTATCTGAGAAAAAATTTTGACCATCTACGATATTTTAATTTTATAATATTATTATAAAATTGATCTTGGTCACGAAATTATTCTTCATTTCATATCATATGGTAAAATGAATTTAAAATAAAAAAGGTATTAGGTAGAAGAAAGATTTACCAGTATATAATTCATAGTTTCATAGAAGATGTTTAATAAATATATAATCTATATTTATCAACAAAATTCATTAGATTAAATGGTTATTTTCAATAACACGAAAGTGTGTGTTTATAGAATGACGAATAGAATTCATATTCCATAGAAGAAGTTTAATAAATATATAATCTATATTTAAAAATCAAATTAAGATTAAATAAATATCTACATATTAAAATGAAATATTTAATATCAATATAGTTAGCTAAAATATTTATAAATTTTTGTTATATAATATTTAATATAGATTATCTATATTTAATAATAATATCATATGAAAAGACTAATTTACTTTATAACAAAAATATTATTTTCATTATATTGATCAAAAATTATATAAAATAAACATAATAACTTGTCAGTATTCTGGATATAACTAGTCGTAGACAAGTGGGCGCGGCTTTAAAGTGAGTTTTTTCATAGGCTAGCGATTTAAGATCTATTAACAAAAATTGAAAATACAAAAATTATAGGAAATAGAAACATTGTAAATAACTTATTTCAAAAATTAATTTTCATTAGCTCAACGAACGGTAGACGGAAGAATTCGACTATAGGCAGTATTCTGGGTATAACTAATCTTAGACAAATGGGCGCGGCTTTTAAGTGACTTTTTTTATAGGTTAGCAATTTGAGATCTATAAAATAAAATTGATAATACTAAAAATAATATTTCCTAGAGCTCAATGATTTATATATATACTACTAGATTAGATTGGCGATACATCAATTAAAAGTGCCCATAGATAGGAATCAACTCTAGGGCCATGTTATGGTTTGCACATCGACTAATTTTCCTTATTAATCAATATAAGAATGCCACTTAATGTCATTTAATTGATGTACAAACTATTAAATTGAAGTACAACTTACTCCTATGACACTTTTATATGCATTCAATGAAGATCGTCAATCTAGTAGCATATATACATCATTGCTATAGCTATGAGGCACCTGGGAAGTTTTGGATCTGTTATGGTCGATTGGGTCAGGGGCCCCTACAACGAGGGGGGGGCGAAGCAACTGCTTCAGTAAATTTGAGTGGGGGTACTTTTTTTTACATCCATTATGATCATGTGATTTCTGGTTTATAAATGTAACAATAAGACCCCCCCCCCCCACTTAATATTTAATTTTAATATATTGACAGAAATTTTGGTCGATGTTTAGTAAATTTGTTATCCGAAATTTCTTGTCATAAATTATTTTTCCAATTTTAAAATATGCCTAAAAATATTAACCAATATTGACAATAGCAAAATTCCTAGAAATTGGATTTCTTATAGTATTAAAATGTATAAAGTATTTTGCTTAACATGTCTCTCAGTGGCGTAGCTAGGAATTTTCCTTAGAGGGGGCCCATACATATATAAGATTGGTAGCTTCGCCCCCAGACCCCTTTTGCCCGGCCTTCGGCCCTTTTGCCCGGCCTTCGGTCGGGTTTATCTTAAAAATCATAACAATATCTTCGATATTATATAATAAATATAGTTAATGCAGCAATAATATATTATTATAATTTAGTAGATTATCTCAATGATTTTATAATAATACTATCCAGAATAATTTCAATAGTAATATATTATCCTTCCACGAACATCAAAACTAGAAAAATATAAATATTCATGGTATTTATTTGATATAAAGTAACTTTTAAGTCTTTTGAACGTATAATCTAAAAAAAAAATTTGCTCTGGGAGGGGTCCAAACCCTAAACCACCCCCGTAGCTACGCCACTGATGTCTCTTATTTGGTGGTCCACGCGCAAATTCAAAATGGACATGTGAAGGTCTAGATAAATGGCAAAATATTAATCGTGATATTATTCTGCATGAATCTTCACAGGCACATATGATGGCCGATTATGGAAGGCTTTCTCATAATAAAAATTCGATATTAAAATTTATAACACCTCAGAAAGAATGTGTAGATAATAACCGTTCTATTATAAGAATTATAATAAGATGTTTAGATTATTTAATATCTCGTAACCAAGCCTTCTGGGGGAACAGGCAACAAGAAGGCAATATGATGGCCCTTATTAAGCTTAGTGCAGATTCTGAACCTATACTAAAAATGTATATACAGCAAAATGAAGAAAGAAAAAGGGATAAAAAAAATAAGGGATTAAAAACGAAATTATATTCAAACCTATTATCATATAATAACATAAGCAATCTCATTGAAACCATGAAAAATATGGTTATAAAAAAAATTCAAAATGAGATTACATTTAACAGGTGCTTATTAATCATAGTTGATGCCACATACGATGATCAGAAGCAATAGCTTTGATAGTAAGATATGTTGAAAATAGTGAGACGCCGAAGCCTGTTGAAAGACTGATTGACATATATTGTACGGGAAATACCACAGGTCTCGATATAAAGCATAATATAATATCCAAACTTGGCTCGAGGAATTTACCCCTTGAATATCTAGTTGGGCAAAGTTATAATGGCGCCTCAAACATGAGTGGAAGAATCAGTGTACAAGCCTTGATTAGAGCAAAGGCGCCAAAGGCAGCTTTTATTTGGTGTTATTGTCATCGATTAAATTTAATCGTTCTTCAATTATGCCAATCAATTAAAGAACTTCGAAATGTTCTAGGAATACTAGATGAGATTTATGTCTATTTTAATGGTGTAAAAAGATATGAGGTACTCAAAAAATTTCAGTGTAATGATCTGAAAAAATCGCAACGATTTCTCGTCAAGAATACCACTCGGTAATAGTTCCTTATTTATTTAAATTTTAAATGTTTTTTTTATTTAGAAGCTGGCTATCGTCATTTAAAGCTATTGTAAATTTTTTTCAACTTTATGATGCCTTGAGGGCAGCTTTAACAAATTTAAAGGATTCTAAAGATCCTGCCACTTCCACTATGGCTAGTGCTATAGTCTTTAGAATAGAAAGATTTGATTTTATCTTATCACTTTGTGTTTTGGATAAATTATTGTTGATAACAAGTTTGGCTTGTACAAAATTGCAAACCATTTCGAAGGATATAGGGTATGCTATAAATCAAATTTAATTGACAAAAGATTGCTTGATTAATTTGAGAAGTATAATATAAATTATTGTCTTAATTATTTTTTAATCTAATAGATAATAACACTGAATTTTTGGATGTTTTTTCAAAGGCGCAAGATTTTATGAAAGAGAGAAATCTACATTTTGATTTTGAAAGTTCTAGACTTCAAACATTACAATCCAAAAAGGAGAGGTATATATACTTTCATCATTAAATATAGAAATTTTTTTTAGCTTTAAAATAGGTGTGTTTTATGCTGCACTCGATTTAATTATTATGCAGTTTAACGAAAGATTTAATGATGATTCTATGAAATTTTTACATCAAACATCATTTTTTACGCCAAAGGGAATGGCAGAAAAACAGTGGCGTAGACAAGGGGGGGGGGGGTCGAAACCCCCCCCCCCCCCCATGGATAAAATTTTTTTTTTTTTAATTTTTTTTTTATAAAATAAAAAATTATTATTTTTTTATTGCGAATAATTATATTTAAAAAACGGTTTCAATTTAGAGAAATAAGATAATATATTATATATAATACAATATGAATATGAATATCACAATGAAATATATTTATAAAAAAAGGAGTTTTAATTTTAAATGATCACATCGTTTAAGAATATATATAAATTATATGAACTAAAATATTAAATAACAATAAAAGAATAAAGATATATTGTATGTAAATAATTTCTGGCATAGTTAAATTTATTAAATAACAATAAAGATATTTTGTAAATATTTTCTGGCTTGGCATAGTTAAATTAGATATTTATAAATTTAATTATTAAATATATATTTTTAAACTATATAGATAGTTTGTAAATTTTAATTTTTTATAATTTTTAAATATGGATATCCTTAAGTTTTTTCGTCAACAACAAAAAGAAAAAGGTATATAAAAATTTAAGTTGTGTAATTTGAATTAGAAATATATATAGATATAGATGTTGCTCTTGCTAGTAAAAATCAGCCATCAGTTGAGTTAGTTTTCGTTGTATCCTCAGATGACAAAGGTAATGGTATTATTTATAATATCTTTTATTTAAATCTTGCAATTAGAAAGACCAGACATACCATTACCACTCCATGCCAAAACCAATGATGAGTTAGCTACAAAATCATCAAATGATGGTATATATTCTAAATTATTTATAATTTCTAATATTTTTTAATTAAAAATAGAAACATTATGTGTTACAAAAGCATGTGAGCTATCAGTTGATTTAGCTGGAAAATCATCAAATGATGGTATAGTATTTATTTTAATTCCATTTTTTTTATTTGTAAATTATACTATTTTCATTTTGAGTTATTAAAATTTTGCAATGTACGATATTTAAAAGTTAGTCATTTTTTTGTGTTATTCAAAAGGTAGTACATTATAAGCCAAGCAGAGTTGAGAAGTATTGAAAACAACAATAAGAATAAAGATATATTGTATTTGTAAATAATTTCTGGCATAGTTAAATTAGAATATTAAATAACAATAAAGATATTTTGTAAATATTTTCTGGCTTAGCATAGTTAAATTAGATATTTATAAATTTAATTATTAAATATATATTTTTAAATTTAAACTATTTAGATAGTTTGTTTTGTTTGTAAATTTTAAGTTTTTATAATTTTTAAATATGGATATCCGTAAATTTTTTTGTCAACAACAAAAAGAAAAAGGTATATATTAATTTATTTATAAAATTTAAGTTATGTAATTTGAATTAGAAATATATATGGATGTTGCTAGTGAAAATCAGCCATCAGTTGAGTTCGAAGGTAATGGTATTATCAATATCTTTTATTTAAATCTTGCAATTAGAAATACCAGACATACCATTACCACTCCATCTCCATGGGAAACCAATGATGAGTTAGCTACAAAATCATCAAATGATGGTATATATTCTAAATTATTTATAATTTCTAATATTTTTTAATTAAAAATAGAAACATTATGTGTTACAAAAGCATGTGAGCTATCAGTTGATTTGGCTGGAAAATCATCAAATGATGGTATAGTATTTATTTTAATTCCATTTTTTTTATTTGTAAATTATACTATTTTCATTTTGAGTTATTAAAATTTTGCAATGTACGATATTTAGTTATAATTTTAGTTATTTTGCAAAAGGTAGTACATTATAAGTCAAACAGAGTTGAGCAGTATTGAAAACTTGTATCTACAATACAAACAGAGTTGGGCAGGCCCTCCAGAAAAATAATCTAGATACAGATTTGTTGTGAAAAAATGAATCTTAGATACAGATGATTTATCATTACCAATTAAACTAGAATAGTTAATAAAATACAGTTTTTATTATTTATTTGTGAAGAACATAATTATTTTCTTAAAATCTTTTGTATATACAATCTTGGGCAGCTTATAATATTTAGGAACTTATTTTCATAATTTAAATATTACTACCTTCTTCACTTCCATGAGTGTAAATCATCCTACAAATATAAAAATATTAATTAAAATTGGTAATAATATTCTATAGTAATTTCCTTCTACTTGTATCTGTCTTTAAATTTTTATTAAGAAACTTTGATATATATCTGAGATACATTTTTTATAATCCAGATTTTTTTCTTGTGCTGCTCAGCTCTTAACATTGAAATTCATATTGAAATATATCATTTAAAATCTAAAAAAAAATATAGAAACACCACACCGTTCTCAAAAAGATGTTTCACTTTACTTAAATTTTCATTTTAAAAATGATAATGAAAAATTGTTAGCTGTTGAAAATATTTGGATACCTGACAAATGTTATAAATTTCCATTGCCCTTGGGCAAAAGAAATTTAACCTTTCAAGCATCCTGGCTTAACAAATATAAGTGGCTTGCTTACTCAGCCGATGAAAAGGGCGCATTTTGTAAAGTTTGCGTCATATTTTCCCCAAGATATGCTGGAAATGGGTTACAAAAACTCAAAACATTGGTAAGTCAGGTGTACACAAGATGGAAAGATGCGCTCGAAAATTTTAATTATCATCAAAAAAATAAATATCATCTTAATTCCTGTGAGATAATGGATTCTTTAAAAGAAATCTCAATGAATCAAAAGATATCAATATCCAATGTATTGAATAAAAAAAATTTTGATATTGTTACAAAAAATCGATCAAGAATAATTATAATTATTGATGCTGTCATTTGGTTAGGGAGGCAGGGCTTGGCGTTAAGAGCTCATAGGATATCTCCTGGCCCCCTAACACTTACATCCCCTTCTCACAATGAAGGAAATTTCAAGGAATTATTGAAATTTTTATGTAATAATAATGACAACTACCTAAAGCTTTTTGAAAGCTCCTCTAAAAATGCTACTTACCTAAGTCCCACTATTCAAAATGAAATAATATCAATATGCAATCAGTTTATATTAAAGGAAGTTTCTTCAAAAGTCAAAGCATCACCATTTTTTAGTGTTTTGGCGGATGAAACTTCCGATATTGGTAATATTGAACAACTATCCATAGCAATAAGGTTTATTGATATGGAATCAGGTAATTATAAAATGAAGGAACTATTTGTTCAATTTATTGAATTACCTGACACTAAGTCAGAAACGATTGCTAATCAAATTATTAAATCACTTCAAAACCTGGATTTAAATTTAAATCTACTGAGAGGCCAAGGGTACGATGGAGCTCCCTCGATGAGTGGCCATGTTAAAGGGGTCCAGTCAAGAATTAGAGAGCTTTATAGCACAGCTCTTTATGTTCACTGCAGTTCACATTGCCTGAATTTGATGATAACTGAGGCATGTGAAATTAGAGACATCCGGAACAGTTTACGTAAAAAGATTTTGATTTAATTGAAATTTATTAGATTTTATTATGTATTATAGATATCTTTATATAATTTTTATATATTTTTCAAAATTTAGAAACAATATCATCGGTTTGTGACTTCTTTACCCCACCCAAGAAGAGGGAGATTTTTACCCAAACGTTCGATGAAATTGATTCAAAAAATTCAAAAAAAAAATTCAAAAGATTTTGTCCCACAAGATTCATTGAAAGACAACAATCGGTGAAGGTTTTCATCGAGTTATATGAGGTTATTTTTGCGGCACTGGAATCATACATATTACGCAAAGAAAAAGATTCCGCAAATGCGGAAAATCTTTTACAGGCTATTACGAAGCCTCAATTTTTAATTTCAATTCAATGTGTTTATTTTTTATTTAATTATACATATGATTTTAGCAAAATGTTACAAAAAATTGATTTGGATTTAAGGGAGGTTATGATATAAGGCAAAGGATATTGTTGAAATATTAACAAATATCAGAGATAATGTGGATGAAAAATTTCAAGAAATATATGAGAAAGTAAAGGAGATCGCTAATATGTTTGGGATTGAAATTTTTAAACCTAGAGTAGTTTCTAGACAATCCAATCGCTCAAATATTGATGCATCTACGATTGAGGATTTTTATAAAATTAACATTTTTATTCCACTTATTGATACATTTTTATTTCAATTAAAGGAAAGATTTATAAGTCACAATTTTATTTTAAAAAGCTTTTATTTTCTTTTGCCGGTTGAGTCTGAATTGTTGATTACACTTGAAACGCGAGAGGATATTAAGAACATCTCAGAGTTTTATTCTGATGATTTATTAGGGTCGTATGATAAGTTACTTTGTGATGTCGAATTTTGGTATAAAAATCTTGGCAGAATAGAGTACTCTTTGAGATCAAAAAATGCTTTGCAGGCCCTTTCCATGTGTAATTGCACTTTAGATTCCCTGCCCAATATCAAAACATTGTTTTTTATTTTAGCTACTTTACCGATTAGTACCTGCACTAATGAAAGGTCTTTTTCAACTTTGAAAAGGTTAAAAACCTATTTAAGAAATAGCACCGGTGAAAACCGTTTAAATGGATTAGCCCTATTAAATATTTATAAGGAGATTATTCTAGATAAAAATTTGATTCTAGATGAATTAGCCAAATCTCAGAGAAAAGTAGACCTCTCTTTATAAATTCAAATCATATAATTGTAATATTTTCTTAGTCATAAAATTTTTATATGTAAAACTTAATTATAATGAATTTTTAGTCATGATATTTTTATACTATATTTTATTTAATAATAGTATTGCACCTACAATAAGAATTATTTATATAATATACTCATTTGTATTAAATATAACTGTTAAATTATATTTTTTTAAATTGCATACAAGAATTACTTATATTTTATTGTAATTTTATTTTTTTAAAATATAGATATTTACAATCAATTTTTAAAATAGTAATCTGTATAAAATTTCTAATTTTGAAATTTATTTTTTGTATATAAAATAAACACATAGTTAAATAAAGGGTTTATACTAAATAAAATTGTTAAATTGTATTTTTTTAGCAAGAATTACATATTTTATTGCAATTTTATTTTTTTAAAATATAGTTATTTACATTCAATTTTTAATATAATAATCTGTATAAAATTTATATATTTTGAAATTTTTTTTTTTATATATTATTAAAATAAATACATAGTTAAATAAATAAAGTTAATAATAAATAAAATCTCTGCAAAATATTGTTATATGCAAAAATTTAATTAAATAATTATTTTTAACATAGAATAAGATATATTGAGTTGATTATAAAATTGGAAGGTTTGGGGGGAGGCAAATTTTTTTTACATCGAATAGATTGAATTAATATACAATTTACTAAACATTGATAACATTTTCAAAATAATGCTTTCAGTCGCTTATTAATTATAAATTTGGCAAAAATTTTAATTCTAATATTTTTTAATATTTATGCTGGCCTGGGTATAATACACAAAATATTGGCAAATTTTGATAAGGGGGTTTGGGGGAAAAAATTTTTCAAACCCCCCCTTCCTCCCCCCCCTATGGATCAATCCTGGCTACGCCACTGCATAAATTATTCCTAAAATCTAAGTAATAATAAAAACATTCTCTAAAAGAGTATTATTTACAAGGTGGTTAATAATAGTTCCAAACACAAATTTTGGAATAAAATCATCCATTGAAATTTAAAACTTTTTTTATATAATTTAATAATTAATTACAATTAATTTTGAATTTGATTTTAAAAAAAATAAAGTTTTTATCATTTTATAATAAAGTAATACTGAATAATTAGGTTAAAGAAAGAAAAACAAATACCCACCCCCACCCCCTACCCATAACCCGAGGATATGTCTTGACTAATTTTAATATAACTCAAAAAATTATTTAATCATTTGATACTCTTTTAGAGATATTTTTTTAAAAAACGTTTTTAAACCAATCCCCATATAACCTATATGCGATGATCTGCGATAATTAATTTTACAAACACATTTTAATAGATTTTATTTAATACTATTTTAAGATATTTATTATACTCAATCCATAAGATATCTGTTCTAAATGGGGCTCAAAATTTTATTAAAAATGACCCTTTTTAAATATATAAAGAAATATTGAGAATTTTCAGGGGGCTCGAGCCCTTATGCCCATTTTCTCTAGTGAAGCTACTTGTCTGTTATCCACGTTAAACTAGAGAACAGCCCTCATCTTTATATTTTTAATCTGAATCTGGCTATGAGTGGCTTAATATTATTTCAAGTTCTATAATTGCATTCAATTATCATCAACAACTCCAACTTTCAAATGATTTCTATTTGGGATGCCGATGCTAACATACCTACAAAATGTGTTGCCTACATACTTTCCATTATCTAAAAAGTCTATCACCCCTTTCAATGAGTGATCTCTATTCGTGTAAATATAATCCTAAAGTTTTTTTAAAAGGAAAATAATTCTTCTATTCTAAAACCTGTTCATGTTTTCCCAATCGTGGTAGAAAGTCAAATGATATTCATGCTCTCTATCCATGTGAGCTAGCTGAAGTCCTACCAAATACATAAATTGTTCTATGCTAACAATTTTGATAACCGCATCTTGTTAGCGTAATTTTTCAAAGAAGTTTAAATTAATCAAGATTTACCTGAGATTCCTACATGATCTCAGGATCAGCTCGTTTCTCTCTACCTAATTTCCATTAAAAATGATATTGATACTCCTTTAGGTTGGAAACAAAAAAGTAAGAAAAATAAAATTTGTGCCGTTATGTTTAATAAGTGGATGTTGTTTTCTGTATTTCTTTAAGTTTATACAAAATATTGATAGGCGGCCAAAAGTCAGCACCACCTCTATCCCCCCCCCCCGCCTAGTAATCATGGTATGGTTTTTAAAAACTAATTTTATATTCCTAACCTACTTTATCAATTTCAATGACGGTTTTATGTCATACCCTCCCTCCACCCTTCCATGGTAGAAGTCACTTAGAGTAGCTTAGCGCCCATTAGATGTGGCAAATAATATTAAATGCTTTCATTTTAATATTTTAAAAATTGAATAAAAATAATAAGAATTTTAATGCACAACTTCAAAAATGTTAAAAATTGGAATGGAATTTATATTGACTAATTTCTCAAATATATTTTTACAGGTCTTGCGGGGTATATTTTTTTAAATAATTAGGTATAAAAATTGTCATTTCAAACTGTTTATATCTTATCTTTATTTAAAAAAATGAAATATATAAGAAGTGTATTTAGTTATCAAGGCATTACCCCTTAACACTTCAGAAATTATCTTTTAATATTGTTTTGAATATAATTGCCTGCCATGCTATGTATTTTATGTCATTAAGTTTTAATTAAGATATTATCATAAAAACATTCTTATGGTTGTGTGGTGATAATAAAATAAATTATGCATATTATTTCTTAAAATGAGAAAAATGCTTTTAAATTATAATATTTTTTGGGGGGCCCAAACACATTTTCAGGTAAGAAATAAAACAATTCGTTATGTTTAAAGTTATACTATTCAAATGGAACATAGTAATCATAAAAATCTATATTTTAATCATTATTTTCTTATTTATTAATTAACAAAAATAATATTTTATTTTATTTTTTCCACCATTTTTTAAAAATGTTATATATAATATTTTACCTATCTAAGGTATCAAATTTATAGTATTTTTTAAATATATATATTGTAATTTTTAATGTCTTCGGGTTTGTGACCTTTTTTTTTATTCCTTATAGCATTCTCAACTTACATCGCATGTAATTTCGTTCTGCAAATTTTTTTTAAACGAAACCAATAAAGCTTTTTACAAATTAAAATTTTTCTTTTCATTTTAAAATATCAAATTATTAAATCCTATATATAATTATTTTATTGTAAAAGAAAAAGAAGCTTATTAAATTACATAACATTTCTATGAGATAAATGTGTGAAAATATAGAATTTAATTTTTTTTTATAAAAAAGAGACAACTTTTGGGGAATTATAATACCTGGATGAGTTTTTTTTTCATACGTTCTTAAATCATTTATTAATTTTATTAAATCTTCGAAAAAATCTTATTTTATACGATTTCATCATAATATTAATTGTATCATTAATTTTGTCAAATTATTTCAATAAAATTTTGTAGTACAATTAAAAGTAATAAGTCTAAACTATAAACGTAATCAGGTAGTCCTCTATCATTAAATAAATAACATGATATATGGATTCATCTTCGGCTTATTTTTAAAACACTACCCCCCTCTCCTGTCTATCATTAGTAGACGCTAGTCACGTAACTCAAATTTATATTCCTTTTTCTATTTAGGTTTGGGCAGTGGCGTAGCCAGGATTGATCCATGGGGGGGGGCTTAAAATTTTTTTGGGGGGCTTCAAACCGCATTTTAAAAAATTGCCAATTTTGTGATTTATTGATGTCTAACCACGTAGCCAGCATAAATGAAAAATATATTAGTAACAAAATTTTGGCCAAATTTATGATTAATACGCGACTGAAAGCATTATTCTGAAAATTTTATCAATGTTTAGTCAATTGTAAATTAATTCAATCCATTGGGTGTAGAAAGAAAAATAAAATCGCCCCTCCAAACCTCCCATTTTTCATGATCACTCAATATATTTTATTCTATGTTAAAAATAATTATTTTAATTAAATTTTTGCATATATCAAAATTTTGTAGAGAATTTCATTATAGATTTT